AGAGCTGGCCCGGCAGACCCATGGCATCCTGGAGTATTACTGCCGTCTGCTGCAGGAGGACAGCTCACCCTTGCTGCGCTGTGCTCTCTGCATCGGGGGAATGTCTGTAAAAGAGCAAATGGAAACCATCCGACAGTATGTACAGACACCCTGTCTCACGGGCATCCCCAGCTTTCCCAGAGAAGCAAAAGAACCCTTCAGTTTAGCTAGTGCATGATCCTCCCAGAGCTCTGTGCGTCCAGCCTTTGAGGGAAAATGGGTTTGGGTGCGGTGGCTGGGTATTGTGGGAATGTAACCGATGGGATGTCCCATTCTCTGAGATGTAAGAAGTCAGAGAAGGCTTTGTAGGGAACCATTTGCATTTTTGCAGAGGGGCAGTTCAGGCAGAAAGCTCAGGGATTGAAACCTAGGGTGCCCAGAAAAAACAGAACTGATTAACCAGGGAGACTAAGGTACTGATGTGGGGCCAGACCCCGGTAGCACGCCTGGCCTTTCCAGGCAGTACAGTCCCCAGCAGACATCTCCAGCTGTCTAGACACGTCCCTGAGGTCATAGTCATACCATACCAGAACCCACCCCTGTGTCTGAGGTCTCTGCAGGCTCAGGGGAGGTGTGGGCACAGAAAAGATACGGTCAGCTTATCCGAAAACTGAGTCCAACAAGGCCAGTGAAGGGTTGCAGGAGCCAGGGGTCTCTAGAGGCTCAGGACAGCCCTCGTGGGAAGGTGTGTTAGGGTGAGTGCAGGTCAGAATGGTGCAGCCCTACCAAGGAAACAGCGTGAGTGCACATGGGAGCATGGCAGGAGGCAGGGGAGAGGGGGAGAGGGGGAGGGCAGAAGAGCAGAGGCGGGGTGCAGCGCCCGAGCTGGCGGGAGCCAGGGAGCCCCAACCCCAGGCTTCCCTTGTCCTCCTCAGTGGTGTGCACATGATGGTAGCCACGCCTGGACGCCTCATGGACTTGCTGCAGAAGAAAATGGTCAGTCTGGACATCTGTCGCTACCTGGCCCTGGATGAGGCTGACCGCATGATCGACATGGGCTTTGAGGGTGACATCCGTACCATCTTCTCCTACTTCAAGGTGCCCGACCCCTGCCTCACAGACACGTACACACTCGTGTACTCTGCACTCGTGTTGGTCTGCAAAGGGCCTGTGCACTGTCATACCCTCTGCTTTTGAGGTCCGTGTCTCAGCTCTGCAGCACCCTCAGACCCCATCCCCAAACGCCCTCCATCTAGCCCTGCGTGCCCTTAGCTCTGCGGTTCGCAACTTCCTAATGCTGCAACCCCTAACACTGTTCCCCATGCTGGGCTGACCTCCGACCATAAAGTTACTTTGCTGCTACCTCAGAGCTGTAATTTTTAGACGGCTGTGAATCATAATGTCTTGTAGGTGGGGTATCTGATATGTAACCCCAAAGGGGTCCTGACCCCCAGGTTGAGAACCCCTGCCTTAGCCCCAGTCTCCACCCTCTCAGGGCCAGAGGCAGACTCTGCTCTTCAGCGCCACCATGCCGAAGAAGATTCAGAATTTTGCCAAGAGTGCCCTGGTGAAGCCCGTCACCATCAACGTGGGACGTGCTGGGGCAGCCAGCCTCGATGTCATCCAGGTAGGCGGGCACTCCTGATGGGCAGTCTTACCAGTACAGGCTGAAGCTAGCCCTGCTCCCCGATGCTAACCGAAGAGTCCACCTGTGACCTTAGCCAAGGCCATTCTTAAGCTGCCCAGCCTTCGATGGCAAGAGGCTCTGGTCACGCAGCCCGGACTGGGAGCCCAGCTGCAGTGTCAGGGCCATGGCTGGGCAGCCTGGTCTGGCGTCACCTGACCTGGCCCCTGTGGTGGCAGGAGGTGGAATATGTAAAGGAAGAGGCCAAGATGGTGTACCTGCTCGAGTGCCTGCAGAAGACACCCCCGCCTGTGAGTACCGCTGGGCGAGGCTGCTCCCAGAGCTCCCGGGGTGAGAGACGGCGGCAGGGGTGTATGCTGGCGCACTCACTGTGACACCCTCTGACTAGAGTTGGCCTTTTTGGGCAGGTGCTCATCTTTGCAGAGAAGAAAGCAGATGTGGATGCCATTCACGAGTACCTCCTGCTCAAGGGGGTTGAGGCTGTGGCTATTCATGGGGGCAAAGGTCAGACTGGTCACTACGTTAGTATAGGCCTGCTGCCATGACAGCTCCCTGCCTTCCCATTCCCTGCCCCTGCCTAGCCAGCCTGTGTTACTCTCAACACTCCACTATAGTTCTGACTCATACCTCACCCACCCCAGACCAGGAGGAGCGGACCAAGGCCATCGAGGCATTCCGAGAAGGCAAGAAGGATGTGTTAGTGGCCACAGATGTAGCCTCTAAAGGCCTGGACTTCCCTGCCATCCAGCATGTCATCAATTACGACATGCCTGAAGAAATCGAGAACTATGGTAAGGAGTTTGGGATATTGGTGGGCTGGACAGGAGGAGGGCCAGGCATCCAACTAGTAGGCTACAGACTGTTTCTTTTCTTACAGTGCACCGAATTGGCCGTACTGGGCGTTCAGGAAACACAGGCATTGCTACCACCTTCATCAACAAGGCCTGTGGTGAGTCTGTCACCATAGCTACCTTGGCTCTAACTTGGGTCCTTCATGTGTAGCTACCCAGGTTCTAGCTCCAGTGTGCAGCCTGATGGCCCCCACTTTCCCCCCACTGTTCCTCTTCCTTAGATGAGTCAGTGCTCATGGATCTCAAAGCCTTGTTGCTGGAGGCCAAGCAGAAAGTACCACCTGTTCTACAAGTGCTGCACTGTGGGGATGAGTCCATGCTGGACATCGGAGGTAGGTGTTGGGCAGGAGCTCCCGTCTCCAGTCCACAGCTGGGGACTGGGAAGGCAAGCTGACTGAAACACCAAGAGATGAGTCCAGGATGGTAGAGCCAGCTTGGGGTCCTTATCTAGGGCCTGAAACTTGATCCTACGACCTTGCTGACCTTTCTCTCCACCCCCAGGAGAGCGTGGCTGTGCCTTCTGTGGAGGCCTTGGCCATCGGATCACTGACTGCCCCAAACTCGAAGCTATGCAGACCAAGCAGGTCAGCAACATTGGCCGCAAGGACTACCTGGCCCACAGCTCCATGGATTTCTGAGCCGTCTCTCTTCTGTCTTCACAAGAGTCGCAGGGCTCCAGCCATGCAACACACCAGCCCTCAAGACAAGAAGCCAGCCCCCTTGGCCCAGCTGGCCTGGGCAGTCCCGGTGCCCCCAAAAGTACTATTTTTCTTCTTCCCCTGGCTGCCATTAAAGCACATTCCCTTCTATCTCAGACCAGCTCTTCCTCTTCGTCGCTCACCTGGCTCCTGGTTCCTGGACGAGCTCTGCTCCAACAGACACCAGCATCTGCCAGAGTTGCCAGCCTGCTGTAGACGGGACTGGCCAGCTAGTGTTCTGTCTGGGGACTCAAGAGGATCTGGTCAGGAATGCCCAGTCACTCAGGAGCCACAGTTGAGGGTCACGAGGAAATGGTTGTGTCCCCGGTCTCCCTGCCCCCGACACTGATGCTAGTCTTTCTTCCTGTGACTACTCCAGGGCCCCCGAAGCCTCTGGCTACCCCTCCCTGCCTGTGCAGCCTCCTGCCAGAAACCCTCTGCTCCATCTGCTGCTGAGGAAGTGGTAGATGCCACAACATCACCATTCTGGTCAGATAGATACCCTCTGCCTCTGTTCTGTCCTGCTCTTTACTGGGCTAGAAGGACAGAAATGAGCCAGGCAGGGGCTGCCATAACTGGGGAGCCACAGTAAGATTCATACATGCAGATGTCTGTTTCCAGGCTAGCCCACCAGTCAGGACTTCACCTTGCAACATGAGGGGCAAAGAACCGGCACAGTAGAAGCCAGGTACTCGGTTCCTGCCCACCGGGAACATTGTGTGTAAGGCATATACTGACTCAGCAAAGACAGCCATTGCTCAACCTGTGTTTGTCACTCAGTGTGAGGCCTGTGGCAAGTTACTTAACATATCTGAGCCTTAATTTCCTCATTGTTGAAATGTCGATGAGAATATAAAGGATAGGATCAGACTCTGAGCTCAGATCTGCCTGGACCATAGTGGACAAGGAGCCAGGAGCCAAAGGGCCCCTTGAATGTATTACCTGTCTACTTGGTGACAGCTAAAGAGTATTCCTTACCCTGGTTACAGCATTTCCCAAGGTTACGTTACTTAAGTGACAAGATACTTCCATAATTCATATTCATGCACAGCCCCAACGGAGGCAAGGTAGGAGAAAGACGTGGCAGGAAGCAGAGCTTCGAGGACCGTGTGAGCTCCCTGGGGAGTCCACTGGGGGCTCGCCACCCACACTCAGAGTGACGGGTGGAGCCCTGTGGACCGCGGCTTAGCATGTGCACTGCGGGGTGCTTCACTCTCCGCCCTAAGCAGCCTCCCTCCCGTAGCAGGAAGAGCAGTGGAAAGGGTTGCCCAGAGGGGACTGATGTGAAGAAACAGCACAGGAAGTAAAGGCAAGAACTACTACTCGGGGGTCGGTGGGCCCAAGTCGAGTGAGGATGGAGAGGAGAAAGGGAACTTTGAAAATATTTGATTGGGCTGGGAATATAACTGCCTGGTAGAGCAATTGCCTTAGCATACCCAAGGCGCTGGGTTAATCCAGTACTGCCAGAGAGGCAGGTAGGCCTCAGAACGCCAACCACGAGTCGTCGAGTCTAGTGATCTGGAGAGACGTGTCTTAAGGATGGGGCCAGGGCACCTTGGGGTGCACAGCTGCCTGGGGATGGGGGAGGGTTCAGAGCTCGTGACTCAGGGCATCCATCCTGTGGTCAGACACTCACGCCCAGCTGATCTAGGTACATGCGCAACAGGCAATGGCCCCCAGCGGCCTTGGAAAGGCCAGAACCCTAAGGGAGAGATTTGTTCTACCATCCCTTCAGTGAAGCTCGGGCTCCCCTCCCCCTAACCCTGCAGCTGTCTCTGGACGGAGGGAGAGGGAAGTGGCCAGAAGGGGAAGTGAGAGGGTTCCTGTCCAGCCCTTCACCATTCTCCTCGGGTCTACAGAGCAGCCGTGGCCATGGCGTCTGTGGAGACCCCTGTCAAGGACGGCACCCTCTACCAACAGCACATGAAGTTTGGCAAGGTGGGGACCGCAGGCTGCCAGCCACGGGCAGGGAATAAAACCTCTGCTTAGCCAGACAGCCTGTCTAGACCTGAGTGAACTGGGAAGGGAGTCTGGGTGGGCTGATACGTGGGAGTTTGGGAGCAGAGGTTCTTGGCCTGAGGTTAAGGCTGAAACTTCCTTTGTAAGATGCCAAGACAATGGGAGGGTCTTTGTGTGTGTGTTTGTTTGTTTAGTTTTGTTTCTAGACAGGGTTTCTCTGTATTGCTTTGGAGCCTATCCTGGAATTAACTCTTTAGACCAGGCTGGCCTAGAACTCACAGAGATCTGCCTGCCTCTGCCTCCTGAGTGCTGGGACTAAAGGGCATGAGCCACTAACTCCCAGCTGGAAGGGTCTTAAAAAGCAAAACCTACATGTGTGTGTGTGTGATGGCCCCAAAGCTGGAGAAGGTCAAGGCCGGAGTGGCAGGAGCCTTCCCAGCATGGAGTAGCCCTCTGCAGAAGAAAACTGGGTTCCCAGACACTTGGGAGGAGAGGGGTCAAGGGCTCATTTTCCTCCTTGAGCATCAGACAGCTGCAGCTGCTCCCTGGGTAGGAAACTGTTTCCTTCGCTAGCTATCATTTGCATGTCTTCCTTCCTTACCAGCTTAAAGCTAAGGCCTCCTTCCCACTGCACCCAGCCCATGGCCTAAGTGACCTTTTTGGTTGGGAGTTGGCAACAGCATAGCAACAGTGTCTGTTGGCCCTGCCCCAACCACTAGATACATTGCAGACAATCCAGTGGAAATCCCAGACTCATATCCCACGGCCTTGAGAGATTGCTTAAGGTTTGGTTTGGTTTGGGGTTTTTTTATTTGTTTGTTAATACTATGAGGTCATTCAGAAAAGGGTAGGGTGGGATTTGAACTTGAGGCTGACCAACCCTAAAACCAGACTTCTTCCTGCTTACCTTTGCCCTAGCAAGGCCTCCTCCTTCCTTTGCACCCTAAAGTCTTAGAGAGGCAGAAGTCAGGTGACCAGTTGCTCAGCAGTTTGTAAAAAGCCAAGAGGCAGAGGGAACCTTCTTCCCAAGAGCCTTCTTCTTTACAGAAATGCTGGCGGAAAGTGTGGGCTCTGCTGTATGCCGGCAGCCCGTCAGGTGTAGCTCGGCTGGAAAGCTGGGATGTTCGTGACGGTGGCCTGGGGCCAGCAGGCGAAAGATCTACAGCACCTGGCCGTCGAGGCGAGCGTCGGGTCATACGCTTGGCTGACTGTGTGTCTGTTCTGCCTGTGGATGGTGAGAGCTGTCCCAGGGACACGGGTGCCTTCCTGATCACCACCACTGAACGAAGCCACCTGCTGGCTGCACAGCACCGCCAGTCGTGGATGGGCCCCATCTGCCAGCTGGCCTTCCCGGTGAGTGGTGAGTGCAAAGTGCACTGGCCTGCAGGGACCACCTCACCCTCTTACTCCTGCCCTTATTTAATCAGATTCTGCCACTTGGCAAGCACTGCCAAAACCTGGCAGATCCGGGCAACAGCTCGTCAATCCATGAATCTTAGATCCCCATGCATGCTACAGAGAAAGTTAAATGATAGATCAAGAGACCTTCAAAAAGGAGAGTGGGCTTGAGCCCTGAGTCACACAGGTGAGGACCCACCAGGCAGAGGCTTGAGAAAGGTGTCAAAGACACACTGCCAAATATTGTGATGCTGGTGTCATGGGCAAAGGCCCTGGGGCAGGAGGACATGGAATGTTAAGGGGCACAAAGTAGGTCAGCCAACAAAAGCTGAGGCATGCAAGAGTCAATAACTTCAGGGAGTCCAGTGAGAGCCTGTGGGGACCGCCTTGGGCCATGTGTGGGTTGGAGGTTTTATACTGAATCAGAGGAGAGGTTTTAGAGTATTAAAGCCAGAGACTGATGGTTGTGAAGACTAAGGGTTCATGATAGGAAAAACAGTTAACTCTGCTGGTTCCTCAGAAAGTTAATCATGGAGCAGCTGGAGAGATGGCTCAGTAATTGAGAGCACTGCCTCTTGCAAAGGTCCCAGGTTCAATTCCCAGCACCCACATGACACAGCTGTTAAGTCCTAGGGGATAAGACACCTTCTTCTGGCCTCCATGGTCACTGTATACAGACACACGTGTACACAAAATGCCTATACACATAGCAATAAGTAATAAACACTTTTTTTTTTTTTTGGGGTTTTTCGAGGCAGGGTTTCTCTGTGTTGTTTTGGAGCCTGTCCTGGAACTAGCTCTGTAGACCAGGCTCACAAAATGCCACCAATGCCCGGCTATAAACACTTTTTTAAAACCAATCATGGAGTTACCATGTGGCCACAGTTCTCCTTATTCGTGTGTAACCAAGAAAAGAGATGTCCAGGCAAAATGTGGCCACCAGCGCTCATGGCAGCACTAGTCACCATTGAAACAACACAGGACTACCCCTGATGAAGACAGACAAAAACCTTAAGCTGGGCAGCGTGGCCCAGGCCTGTAACCCCAGCATTTGGAAGGTGGAGGAAGAAGGTTCAGCAATTCAAGGTCATCAGAAGCTACATGGCCAGTTCCAGGCCAGCCTGAGCTATTTGAGACCCAAAAAAAAAAAAAGAAAGAAAGAAAAGAAAAAACAAGGAACAGCCAGCTGGGATGTGGTAATACAAACCTTTAATCCCAGCAGAACTCGGGAGGCAGAGGCAGACAGATCTTTGTGAGTTCAAGGCCAGCCTGGTCTACAGAGTAAATGCCAGGACAGCCAGGGCTGCACAGAGAAACCCTGTCTCAAAAACTAAAACAAACAAACACCATCAACAAAAACCCCCAAACAAACAACCCAAAAACAAGGAGCCTTGACGACATATGGCCGGAAAGCCAAACACGAAGGGCAGCACTTGCCAGTTTTTAATTCACATGCTATATCTAGAGCGAACAAACCCATGCAGACGGAATGCAGGTGCACGGTTGCCAGGGGCTGTGGGAGGGAACGGGTAATGACAGCTGATGAGCACTGGGCTGTCCTTTGTGATGACGAGTTTGCAATTAGATGCTGTTATGGCTACACAACCTTGTGAATATATAAAAGCCACTGAGTTGGGTACTTTAAAATAGTAATATTGATTTGTATCATGTGTTTTGAGATTAAATGCACAGAATGGAAGGAGCTGGGGTTTGGCTTTGGCCATGCTCCTGTGTCAAAGTATCAGGACCTGAAAGAATTACAGGGCTGGCTGTGGGGTGGGGTCGGGAAGGTCAGGGGTCACCTGCAGGAGCGAAGCCTGAGGTTTTACATGCTGCTGCCCCTGCGTCTTCATTGCTGCAGGCTATCAAAGCCACGTGGAAGCCAACCCAGCCCCTGGCCACACGTGGGCTATAGAAACATCCAATCTCCCCCCCCCCCCAGGTTACCTTGAGCTTTAGAACATAAGGAATAGCCTTGCACTGCAGGGATAGCTTGCTCTAAGACCAGCGCTCTCAGGGGAGCCCAGTGGGGATTGCTGCCCATAGTAAAGCTGGCAAGTGACAGTGTGTGGCTGGTGTAGGGAAGCTGTGGCCTGCTGAGCCTGCCAGAGAGGGCAGAAGAGCAGGGTGAGCTCTAACTGCCTGTAATCCATTCCGCAGGGCAATGGAGAGTGCTCTTCCAGATCAGGGCAAGCAGAGACTCCACAACGGGGCTTTGTTGCCATGGAGGAAAACTCCATCTACTCCTCCTGGCAAGAAGGTGACTGGGGGGGGGGCACCCTAGGGCAGCTCCATGTCCGCCCACCCCAGCAGTGGCTCCTGAGAACCGACGAAATGTCCTTGTTTCCCGAGTACAGTGGGTGAGTTCCCAGTGGTGGTGCAGAGGACCGAGGCCACCACCCGCTGCCACCTGAAAGGGCCTTACCTCCTGGTGCTGGGCCAAGATGACATTCAGCTTCGGGAGACTTCCAGCCCCCAGGCCTGCTACAGCTGGCCCTACTGCTTCCTGCGCAAGTTCGGCTCTGACAAGGTGAGGTGCTGGCCAACTTGATGGGTCCCTACAGGCAAGAGTGGTAGGTGGTCAGTGTCCTGGCTCGGCAGCCACTGACCCTGCCTGCCTGTGTCACTTGTGTGCAGGGCGTGTTTTCTTTTGAGGCTGGCCGCCGTTGTGATTCAGGTGAGGGCCTTTTTGCCTTCAGCAGCCCACGTGCCCCAGACATTTGTGGGGCAGTGGCAGCTGCCATTTCCCGCCAGCGGGAAAGGCTTCCAGAGCTGGCCATGTCCCCACCCTGCCCCCTGCCTCGGGCCCTCTCCCTACCCTCCCTAGAGCCCCCTGGAGAGCTTCTGGAGGTGGCCCCAGGATTTGAGCTGGCCACTTCCAGAAAGCTGCCTAGGACTGACCCTGGGCCTCAAAGCCTGCCACTGCTGCTCGGCCCTACACAAGAAGAAACTGTATCCGGTCTCTATGCATCTGTGTCCAAGCAGACCACCAGGCCCATGGCCTCTGGGGAGTACCTCTATGAGAACCTGTGCATGCTGGAGGCCAGTCCTGGGCTGTCCAATGGGGGCCCCGAGTCCCAAGAGGGCCCTTCTGGCGTCCACAGCCCCCTGGCCAGCCCCATCTATCACAACAACGAGGACTTGAGTTGGCCCGGCTCGGCCCATGACAGCAGCTTGGAAGCCCAGTACCGGAGGCTGCTAGAGCTGGAGCTAGATGAGGCTGCAGGCCCCGGCCGCTCTGGTGCACAAGCAGGCATCAAGGCCAAGCTGGTGACCCTGCTGACTCGTGAACGGAAGAAGGGCCCTGTCCCCTGTGACCGGCCCTGAAGGCCTGTGCAGGGGCAGCAGGGCAGAGGTGATGTCCCAGGAAACAGAGGGAGCAACTTCAAACATATCCCTGCCTACTCTGACAAGCAGGGACAAGCCAGGCAGCCCGGAGAGGAGCCGCACACTGCCCTATCCACTCCCATCTGACAGTGTACAGGTTGACCAATAATAAAGCTTGTCTTCCACCTTGCCTTGGGTTCTTCCTGTGGCCCACAGTGCACACTACCTCACTTTCTCCTGGGTCCCTGCCGGCACACGGCACCCTTGTGTTCACCATAGCAACCTCCAGGCCTTTATGCTGGGCCCTGAGCCTGACTTTAGCTACCACTGGGCTAAAACCTACTTAAGCAGAGGGACAGGAGACAGGTAGCGTGGGCTATATGTGGTTCTGTGCAGCAGAAATAATAGCCAAACTAGGAGAGACATGAGATCTGTTTACAGAAGTGCCCTAAACTGAGTCAGAAGGGTAAGCATGGTCCAACCAGGCAGGCTGTGAGCCTGGCATTTCCAGGCTCAGGAGGGTCAGTTATCAACCAGAGTCAGCGGTTGTTGTCCTGCAATAAACTGGGTGTCATCCTTGGAAAGGATAATAATTAGACTTGGCAGGAGTGATAGGAAGGCGGTTCTGGGGGGGGGCAGGGGAAAGCAGGCGGCTAAGCTGTGGAGGAGGTGACAGGTGGGGGTGATGGGCTTGGGAAGGACAGGAAGAGGTGCTGTAGGTCGTATATATTCAAAACATTCATGCCTAATGGAATTCAAGCTGTCTACAAATATGCCTGGGGAACCTCCGGCCTTCTTCATCAACTATAAAGAAATAATAAAAATTAAAAAAGAAACCATAAACTCATGTAGGATTGGAGGTCTGAACCCTGGGTTCAGTCCTCAACACACACACAAGTAAAACAGAAAGACATTATCCTCAAGGCAGAGACAGGTGGATCTCTGTGAGCTTGAGGCCAGCCTCATCTCCATAGTGAGTTCCAAGACAGCCAGAGCTACAAAATGAGAACACACCTCAAAACACAACAAAGACGGGCTGGAGAGATGGCTCAGTGGTTAAGAGCACCGACTGCTCTTCCAGAGGACCCAGGCACCCACATGGCAGCTCACAACTGTCTGTAACTCCAAGATCTGACACTCTCACACATACATACAAGCAAAATAAATAAATTTACAAAAGAATTAAAAAGAGCCAAAAGCAAAAAGCCAAGCAGAAAGCACACACACACAACCAACAGCAACATCATCAAAACATTAAATTACACGGGCTGGAGAGAATGCTCAGAGGTAAGAGCATTGACTGATCTTTCCAGAAGTCCTGATGCAATTCCCAGCCAGCAACCACATGGTGGCTCACAATCATCTCTAATGAGATCTGGCCTGCAGGCACACATGCAGACAGAACACTGTATGCATAACAAATAAATCTTTCAAAGCAAAGAAAGTATAAAAAGGAGTAAATTATATATTATACTTAATCATTAAGAGGGGGTGGGGTGGGGACTAGAGAGGTGGCTGGGCAGTTAAGAGTGCTGGCTGCTTGCTCTTCCAGAGGTCCTGAGATCATAACGATCTGTATGTACCTCCAGTCCTAGGGAACCCAATGCCCTCTTCTGATTTCCATGGATAAAGCATGTATGCAGTTCACAGACACACATGCAGTTAAAACGTTCAATACACACATGCAAAAAATCTCTTTTTAGAAGTTTTATTGAGATTGTGGGTGGGGAGATAGTTCAGTGGATAAAGAATGTGCCACTGGAATTGGGATTCCCAGAACCCACATAAAAGCTGAGGTGTGTTGCAATCTGTAATCCCTGGTCCTGGGAGGCAGGGACAAGATCCCCGTGGCAAACAGGCTGGGTAGACTGGCCAGAGTCAGCGAGCCCTAACTTCAGGGTCCCCAGAGTCCACAAAGTGGGATGCAGGGGAGAAAGACACTCAGTGTCAGCTTCTGGCTTCCACACAACACACACAGAAACCCGCACACATGCACACACACCACACACACATACCTATGCAAAGAAAGACTTTTACCAGTGCCGAGACTGTTGTGAACCCTGGGGAGCACTCTGTGCTCCAGATAGCTTCAGCTGTGTTCTCAAGGAGCAGATTCCTTAAAGACCCCAGTCTTTGTCCCTCTGCCACGTCTGGGCTCTCCACCTGTGCAGAAACGGCTGTTCCCAAGGGCCTGGCTTCTCCATCTCTGTACTTTCTGCTTTAAGTGCCCATACTTTGTAGACAGGGTCTACAAAGCTTACTGAGATTATAGACATCCATGCTCAACTTGCCCGCTCTACTTGACACCCCCAAGCCTGTCTTCATGACAGTGACAACCAATCCTGCTTCCGTGCACCTCCGGCTTTCTCTTCCCTTACACTTTCCTTCCTGAACACCTCACTCTTGGAGTCCCTCCTTCCCTTCTGTCTGGTTTGACTGGCAAAGCCCTCAGGCTCTGGCGAATTCACGGGCAGCTGCCCATGTCTGCACAAATTCACCCAATGAAGGCTTGACTGTGTTCTTCACACAGGCAGGCTCCCCATCCTGACTGTGTAGCTCATGTCCCACAGGGGCCCTTCTGTGCAGGTTTGAATGACAATGGCCTCCGTAGGCTCATATGTGTGAATGCTTGACCCCCAGTTAGTGGAACTGCTTAGGAAGGATTGGGAGGTGTGGCCATGTTGGAATGGGAAGGGTCTTGTGGGAGGAGGTGTGTCACTGGGGGTGGGCTCCAAGGTTTCTAACATCCATGCCAGACAGTGTGTGTCTTTGTGTCTCCTGTTGGTGGGTCAGGGGTAAGCTCTCAGCTACAGCTCCGATATCATGCCTACTGGTGAACACGGAGTAAATTGGACATGGTGTCTCATCACAGCAACAGGGCAGTCACTAAGACATCTTCAAACCTTCCCGTTTCCACCCACTCTCACCTCCTAGATGCTGTCAGGAATCAGCAGTCAACGTACATGGACCTTCCTCGCTCTGCTCTGACAAAGGGTCTTCATCTCCTTCCCCTCCTTACAGTGGAAGGCGTGTCTGTCTCTAGAAAGAGCTCCCATCTGAGACGTCCTCACTCCTTCCTTCAGTCCCCAGCGTCGGTAGCTCGCCGTCACGGCCATCACCACCCTCTCCGTCTCCAGCCATACCGAAACTGGCAGGAGCTCTTGAACTTCACGTCTGAAGGAACCCTTCCTTTAACTCCACACTCTCTTCCGCCTCCTCCCCACTTCTCTGTTCTCTCCCACAGCGAAACCCCTCAGAAGAGCTGAATTACTCTCATTTCCAGTTTCCCAACCCCACTCTCTCCCTAACTTCACTTTCCTCTACTTTCCCATTACACAACTTTTCAAAGTCACTACCAACCACATCGGGCCGCTCCCTGAGACGCTGGAACCCTTCCGCCCCGCCCCTTGGCCGCATCGCTGCTTGCCCCTTCCTGCATGCTGCACGGAGCCCCCTGCCCTCTTGCAGTGTCTCCTTCATAGTGAGTCACTTCTGTCCTGGTGGGCGGGATTGAAACCGATGCCTTTGGTCCATGCCAGCCAAGCTCTCCCACTGAGCTGCAGAACCAGTGCACTCAGATAAAAGTGTAGTTCAGGCCGGGTGGTGGTGCACACCTTTAGTCCCAGCACTTGGAAGGCGGAGGCAGGCGGATCTCTGTGAGTTCGAGGCCAGCCCGGTCTGCAGAGTGAGTACTAGGACAGCTAGGCTGGTTACACAGAGAAACCCTACCTTTAAAAAAAATTAATAATAATAATAATAATAATAATAATAATAATAAAGGTGTAGTTCAACCTGGCTGTGTTAAATCACTTGGAGACCTTTGAAGGATGGCCATGGCTAGGCTCACACACAGAGCTCTGATTTTTACCCATTGGGTACATAGAACCTTGGCATCAGTGTTTGGTTTTCCAAATTCTGGATTATTCTAACATGCACCTGAGCTGAACCACTGATGTACATGAGTTAATCACTAGGTTCACTTTCTTAGGATTTGTATTTCTGTTTATTTTATGTGTATGTGTGTTTTGCTTGTGTGTTTGTGTGCACCAAGTGTATGCAATGCCTGTGGCAGTCAGAAGAGGTGGAGGGGCTCTGGAGCTGGACTTATAGACCCCAGTTATGCTAATCACCATGTGGGTGCTAAGAACCAAACCTGGGTCCTCTGCAAGACCAAGAAGTGCTCTTCATTGCTGAACCATCTTTCCAGCCCACACATCCTAAAATTTAAAGGCAATGTAAATGCTGATAACTTCAAAAGGCATATCCACCTTCAACATGGACCTTCTGGGGCTGCAGAGATGGCCAAGAGTGTTTGCTATGCCAGAGGACCGGTGTTTGTGTGTCAGCACCCATATGAGCTGTCTCACAAATGCCTGCAACACCAAGGAATAATACATCTCTCCTCTGGTCCCTAATAAATCTCTACACACATACACACATACCACACATCACACATCACACTTCACACACACATACACACACACACACACTACACACTACAGATCACACACATATACCACACCACACCACTCACATACACACTACATCACACATACACCACACATACACACACACACCATACATACCACACATGACATACCCATCACACACACATACCACACATCACACACACACACACCACAGATCACACACATCACACATACCACACACCACACACATACCATACATCACACCACACTCACACACCGCACTTCACACACATATCACTCACAATCACACCACAAACAAACCACACATATACACACCACACATCACATACACCACTCACATACACATACCACACATACATACCACACATCACATACACACACACCACACATCACACACATGCATACACACACCACACCTCACACAGACACACATATACCACACACACAGGTGCATGCACATGCTTTCCATTTACTCCAGTGTAGCAGGCTTTCTTCGACCACCAGCTCCCAAATCATGACACAGATACTTATTTATTAATTAGCTTAGGCTTGTTTCTAGCTAGCCTTTTTTTAACTTAAAATAACGCATCCTGCAATTGGACTTTCCTTTGGGCCTCCAGGCCCAAATAACAACAAGAAGATTTAAAAAAAAAAAAAAAGGATTTTATTTATTTATTATGTATACAGTGTTCCTGAACTCCAGAAGAAGAGGGCGCCACCAGATCTCATTATAG